GCAGAATTTGGGGCCCAGTGATAGGGCTTGTAGTTGAATTTCAGAAAGAGTGACGGAGGAATAATTAAATACATACTTATTGGGGCTGGAAAATTCTCAACTTAGTCAAACCATCGGGCATTTTGACATTTATAAAAGATACGTAGACGACACTTTCGTCATCTGCGATAAGAAAGTAGTTCTTGATGATGTCTTGTTCGCCTTCAACAACTGCCATCCTTCTTTACAATTCACCATAGAAAAGGAATCGGAACTAAGTATTCCGTTTCTTGATGTGTGCCTTAGCAGACGGAATGACGGATCTCTCAAGAGATCGATCCACCGTAAACGTACATGGAACGGACAACTAACTAATTTTTACAGTTGGGTGCCTATTTCCAGGAAAAGGAATTTAATCCATTCACTCTGCTTTAGGATAAGGAAAATTTGTAGTTCTGATTGCGTCGACTCAGAACTTGACTTCCTGAAAGCCACACTCGCAGAAAACGGTTACCCTAACCGATTTATTGACAGAAACATGAAAGAGAAGCAGTCTAAACTGGTCACTGACTCAGTTCCAAAGAAAACCCTATTCGTGAACTTGGAATTCAAAGGAGATCAAGCTTCTGATATGCTCAAAAATCGTCTTTCTAAATCAGTTAGTAAAACGTTCCCTGCAGCTAGATTACATATGACGTTCACGAGCCGCAAACTGTTCTCTACCTCTGTAAAAGATAAGCTCCCCCGTCTGACCGCCTCCATGTGCATCTACCAGTTCACCTGCTCTTGTGGAGCAAGGTACATTGGCCGTAGTCAGAGAATGCTCTCCACACGGATACGAGAACATATTCCAGCTTGGTTTTACAAAGGAGAAAGGAAATGTGTGCGAAGTTCTATCTTAGAACACCTCATCGACTCCTGTCACTCGGTCAACCCTGACCATGATTTCAAGGTCATATACAGAATTCATGCCAACTTCCCGCGTTTTCTTCGTTACAGACTTCTAAAGACAGCTGAGGCCTTGGCAATTCATGACTTTAAGCCAGACCTTTGTGTACAAAAGAAGTATGTACAATCCCTACTGCTGCCTTGGCCGTAGAGGGATAGACATTTATTTTATTATTTTATGTACTTTTCCCTTATTACTTCGATTATTATTATTATTATCATTATTATTATTATTACGACTCTCATTCTGAATCTTTTCCACTTGATCTACTTGACATTTTAAACCAAAAATTATTCATGTGTATACTTTTTATCTTTATTTTTACAATATTAAATTCTATGTTATCAAATTTCACACCATATTACGTAACATTTTACATTCGTCTATTAATCTTACAATTATATGCCTCTCCCCAAAATCTATACACCCGATGTATTATCTTATATATGACATTAATTATTGTTCCACTTGACTTAAACTATGAACCTAATCACAAATATTTTAAATTTATTTCATACTATTATTATTTCATGTATTTACACCTTTGACCTAATTCCCTCACCGGATATAATTTCTTTATAAAACCATATATATACGATTGTACAGCTTGATAATAAATTCGTTGAAAAGAGTCTCTTCGCTGAAAATTGTGTTCTTAATGCTACAATGGGAATTATTAAATTATTGAAAAAATGCAAAGACCCAATGACGATGAAGGAACTTAATGGTTTCCTACGGTATTCTGTCAAACTTGCGTTAGTGAAATCCGAGATTAACTTTCTTGAAAGCTGTATCAGTAAAAATGAATATCCTAATTTATTTTGGAAAGCGCTTAGACGTAGCCGTATATGTCCTAATTCCAAAACATTAAAGCGCCACACACTTAATCATATTGATGCAATCAGTTCTCGTGTGGTAGAATTAAACAGGAACATAACTCTGAGAAGTCATGTTCTGTTTGAACTTTCGACTGATGAACGCCGGCAATTCGAGGAATACGTTTCTTGTGTCATTGAAAAACAGTCCCAGTCTGCTAACCTCAAGCATCTTGACAGTCTCAAGCAGGTATTAGCAGAAAAGCGATTCCCGACTGACCCCAATAAGTATGTATTTAATTATTCCTCCGTCACTCTTTCTGAAATTCAACTACAAGCCCTATCACTGGGCCCCAAATTCTGCAACAGTTCATCCAAAGTCAACAGACTGCATACTCAAGTGCAATTCGAAAATCTTATTAATCAGACCAACGATCTTACACCCACATCACCTGAGGAATTCCAATACTTTAAATCCACAGTTCTTGATTGCTGTCATCAGTATACTAGTTCAAAACCTAGCTCGAATAATCTTCTGACTAAAGAGCATATAGACCAACTGAAAGAGCTAGAGAAGAATGATGATATTATCATATGCCGTCCAGACAAAGGTGGGGGTGTCGTAGTTATGAATCGCCAAGATTATAATGATAAAATCTCAGCGATCCTTTCTGACCAAACGAAATTCGCCAAACCCGACGGTGAAAAGAACAAGACACATTTAATTGAAAATCAACTGACTGATGTCTTAAAGAATATGAGGAATAAGTCAGCAATATCGTCAGAAATATACGAACGCATCAGACCAGTAGGCTCCATTATACCACGTTTGTATGGACTACCTAAAATACATAAGACAGGATTACCCCTCCGTCCAATCCTCGATATGGCGGGCTCTCCTTATCACGGAATCGCCCAATGGCTAGCCGAAATATTGGAACCAGTCAGAAGGCAAGTATCTAAGTTTTCCATTGATGATACGTTTAAATTTATTGATAGTATTAAAGATTTTAATGTCTCAGAAAAAGTCCTGTTCTCATTAGATGTCACGTCGCTATTTACCAATGTTCCTCTCATGGAAACTGTTAGCTATTTATGTGAGTATATTGATACACATGGTTTGGAAATAGGTTTACCGACAATCCACCTCAAAGAACTTTTATTGAGATGCACGTTGAATGTTCAGTTCACCTTCAACAATGAGATCTATAGACAGAGAGATGGCATTGCCATGGGATCACCACTGGGTCCTTTGTTAGCTGATTGTTTTATGGCAAAGCTGGAAAATTCTCAACTTAGTCAAACCATCGGGCATTTTGACATTTATAAAAGATACGTAGACGACACTTTCGTCATCTGCGATAAGAAAGTAGTTCTTGATGATGTCTTGTTCGCCTTCAACAACTGCCATCCTTCTTTACAATTCACCATAGAAAAGGAATCGGAACTAAGTATTCCGTTTCTTGATGTGTGCCTTAGCAGACGGAATGACGGATCTCTCAAGAGATCGATCCACCGGAAACGTACATGGAACGGACAACTAACTAATTTTTACAGTTGGGTGCCTATTTCCAGGAAAAGGAATTTAATCCATTCACTCTGCTTTAGGATAAGGAAAATTTGTAGTTCTGATTGCGTCGACTCAGAACTTGACTTCCTGAAAGCCACACTCGCAGAAAACGGTTACCCTAACCGATTTATTGACAGAAACATGAAAGAGAAGCAGTCTAAACTGGTCACTGACTCAGTTCCAAAGAAAACCCTATTCGTGAACTTGGAATTCAAAGGAGATCAAGCTTCTGATATGCTCAAAAATCGTCTTTCTAAATCAGTTAGTAAAACGTTCCCTGCAGCTAGATTACATATGACGTTCACGAGCCGCAAACTGTTCTCTACCTCTGTAAAAGATAAGCTCCCCCGTCTGACCGCCTCCATGTGCATCTACCAGTTCACCTGCTCTTGTGGAGCAAGGTACATTGGCCGTAGTCAGAGAATGCTCTCCACACGGATACGAGAACATATTCCAGCTTGGTTTTACAAAGGAGAAAGGAAATGTGTGCGAAGTTCTATCTTAGAACACCTCATCGACTCCTGTCACTCGGTCAACCCTGACCATGATTTCAAGGTCATATACAGAATTCATGCCAACTTCCCGCGTTTTCTTCGTTACAGACTTCTAAAGACAGCTGAGGCCTTGGCAATTCATGACTTTAAGCCAGACCTTTGTGTACAAAAGAAGTATGTACAATCCCTACTGCTGCCTTGGCCGTAGAGGGATAGACATTTATTTAATATTATTTTATGTACTTTTCCCTTATTACTTCGATTATTATTATTATTATCATTATTATTATTATTACGACTCTCATTCTGAATCTTTTCCACTTGATCTACTTGACATTTTAAACCAAAAATTATTCATGTGTATACTTTTTATCTTTATTTTTACAATATTAAATTCTATGTTATCAAATTTCACACCATATTACGTAACATTTTACATTCGTCTATTAATCTTACAATTATATGCCTCTCCCCAAAATCTATACACCCGATGTATTATCTTATATATGACATTAATTATTGTTCCACTTGACTTAAACTATGAACCTAATCACAAATATTTTAAATTTATTTCATACTATTATTATTTCATGTATTTACACCTTTGACCTAATTCCCTCACCGGATATAATTTCTTTATAAAACCATATATATACGATTGTACAGCTTGATAATAAATTCGTTGAAAAGAGTCTCTTCGCTGAAAATTGTGTTCTTAATGCTACAATGGGAATTATTAAATTATTGAAAACATTGAGATATAGATAATGTATCGACCGGCAAGAAAGAAACCTCACACACAAAGGGTCAAGGTTCATGTCAAAGAAACAATGAGTTTCAGTACAATACAAGTAACCTGGAAGGTTTGTAAACACACAAAACACACAACCAATCACATTCAAGGTCACCCACTAGGAGAGATGACTAATAAACTCGTGGAGAAATCTAAAACAGCTCACTTCAATGAATTGAAGTATGCGCTGAAGATGTCGCCTAGCAGGGCTATGAAAGCTTCGCAAATTAACTATCCAGCTAGCTCAGAAAACGCAACCACATAGAAATAAAATACTTTAGTAAAATGAAATGAATTCCATAGTTTCATAGATTGGCAAGGAATAATCCTAAAGAATCAGTCGCGATCAAAAGACAACATGCTGAAATGTAATGAAAATTGTATTTGAATTTTGTAACTGAAAAAATATAAATATAGCATGGTATAAATAATTTAACCATTCTCACAAAACATTGTTTATGATCTTCTACCGTATCTTGGAGTTGATCTAGTAATATAAACTATTCTTGTGGTTGGTTCACGTGTTCTCTCTCTCGATGGTGCTCTAGTTGCATACTTGTTATCATAATCACGGCTATTTTGTGTTGGTCTTCTAGTATCTGAATATCTAACCGGCAGTGTTGGTCTTCTATCACCAGTGGAGGCAACTTTCGCCTTTACACACGTACGTTCGCATTCCTCTTTTGTACGAAATCGGTTAGCATTTCCTCGCATTCCCTTGTAAGCAAATGCACTGCATTGGTTAGTAGCTTTATTATAATAGTATCGGGATTTTTTCAAGAGTCCATGTCCAATATTTAGTGGTAAATTACATATCTCTGTTGGGGTTGCTAAAAATGAAAAATATAAAACACATAGTTATTCACAAGAAAGAAAGTATAAGTTCTCTTTAAAACGGAGACATAAAATATACACATTTAAGTGTGAAATTTACCTCTGTTACTGATCACTGGTGATCAGCTGATGGGGAAACTTTGACTATCCTACGCTTTACCATATGTTAACCTAAAGTACTTATACAATTCAGTCCAGTACTCTTAGGTTTTCCAGTCCTTCTCTAACTGATATCAGCTCATGATGAAATCCTCCATGCAATCAAACAAAATCGCTACAAATACAATACTTGAAAATTAATCTGATGCTCACTAGCGACTGGCCCTATTCAGGCAGTTAACATGGGGTTCTAGTGGGAGGCCATGACCGGAAGGGTACAGCAGGCAGTTACTCATCGAAGATGACATTGCGAAATGGTTGCGCTACGTTATGAATTGGCAGAAGTTAGAATTCAAGGACCACTGGATCGGATCCCAGTGGCTGAATGGTTTACGAGCTAGCTCGCATTGTGACCAGAAGGGTTCTAACCCTGGTGTTGAAGAGTCCCCAACCAGGACGAAACAGCTGTCCAGTACTCTCTGAAGATTTTCTAGTGGTTCTCTAACTGATGTCAGCTCATGATGAAATCCTCCATGCAATCAAACAAAATCCCTACCAGACAAATACTTGAAATTTCATTAAAACTCGCTAAAGAATGTTTTCAGAATAAGAGAATAGTTTCAGTGACAATCAAATATTACCAAAACAGTCAGCAGTGTTTATAAAGTAACTTCGAATCAAATTATTTTCTTAAAAATCATAATCGTGGGGTGTACAGTCAAGTAAAATAAAGTTAGTAGTATTATGTGTATAGACTGACCGACCTCTAGAGATATTGATGATGTAATGAACTTTTATTCAGGCTTTGAACATCTGATAGATATTAGACGTAACATATTTAGAATACATAACCTATTTCAGGAAGTATATGCGTGTATATACCGCCCAGAAAAGATCTCTGGGAGCGAACCAACCCAGTAAGAACCGATTGTATGAGAAAGAGGCAAGAAGAAATGGAGGTGGATTGGCTAGCCATACTCTTAGAAAACAAACCATCAAGTGAATGACATCATACGACAGGCCATCGCTCGAGTGGAACCCGAACGGTGAGTGTTGAGTTGGTCGTAAGTGCGATGGTTAGGGTGACATGGAGAAGTTCATGTGAAGAGGAGATGAAAGCATGTGGGCAGAGTTGGAGCGAGATGAGAACTTTAGTAGAGAACCGAACGCAATGGAGACATTTGGCTGAAGCATTATGTTCCTCTAAGAACTAAATGGAACAATAATAAACACACTGTTCATCTAACATTATGTAGATATAAATGTTGATTCCTCAAAAACAAGCAACAGGTATAGCAAATAAAAGTGTGTATAAGTAACGTTTTAATAACCTTGACTTAAAGTTATGTGTGAAATAATTGAGAAACATTCAGGAATATTGATTTTTTTGATCAAACACTGCTACTGGACCTTTCATTTAGATGAAGTACAATTAAATTTCTTTATGTGGTCTAATGACTGTTTATTTAGGAGCAAGTTATTTTCCTACGATGTTGAAACATTCCATAGATTCGATCTATATATGTACCCTAAAACCGCTGATGAACTTGTAGATGGAGTACAAAGTACAGTCAGATTTACCAGTGTATCTTTGTATTTAATTGATGGATGGTGACTGGCTGTGTGGAATCCAGGATAACACGCATTTCGTCCCATTTGGGACTCGTCATCTACTGAATGTACCTGCATTTCTCAGTGAGTGATGATGTTCCCACATAGGGCTCGAACGCAGTGCCAATAGTTTGAAACGCCAAAGTGTTATTCACTAGACCACTTGGGCCAACCAACTGAATACTAATTAAATGCCCAGATATCGTCAAAACATATGCACAAGAAGCCGACAGACATGTCAACCTGAGACCGAGGAATACTTCGGTGCAATCAATCGACAGGGAAATATAAAATTCAATGAAATCTATCTTTGTGTTGAAAGTTTTGACCAGTGATAATTCCTGACTGCAGTAGATTGGATAATGCGACAGACAGCGGCGGTCAGTGAGGAAACAGGCATAAAATGGACCCACACAAAAAACTTGGAGTATCCAAACTTCTCCAATGATATACGTTTGATTTCCTACAAATTGGAAGATTTGCAAGTGAAAAGCAACAAGTTAGCAGAACAAGCATCAAATATAGGACATCACTTCAGGTGAACATAGAGAAAACGGAGGTAGGTGATGAAGATTCCTGGTCTAAACCAACAGCAACAACAATATTAGACAAAAATCAGACTGAAGAAGTGGGAGGAAACTGAAAGAGACAACCTCCTTCATCTACCTACCTACACTAACTGGGAAGCATCGTTTCAGCTACACGCTGGCAGAACTAACGAGTATAACAAAGCAAGAATTGGAAGAGGAAAACAAGCTTTCATTATTCTGAGGTTTGCGTGAAGATCAACCCTCAGCACTCACCATGAAAAAAAAAGATACGGATTTTCAACTACAATGTGAAGTCAGTGCTACTCACTGCACGGATAAGAGATTTGGCCAGCGCGTCATCAAGTGCATCTCAAACAAAATACAGACCTTCACCAACAGATGTCCTTGCTCAATACTACTCAACATCAGATGGTCGGCCAGAAAAGATCAGCAACAGGGAGGGATCTCCGGCAATGAGCGGACCAACCAACGAGGAACCGATTATGCAACAAATAAGCAGGAAGAAATGGAGGTGGATTGGCTGGCCATACTCTGAGGAAACAAACCATCAAGTGACACCACTAGACAAGCCATCGCTCCAGTGGAACCGGATTGAATGGGAACTGGCGAGTTGGTCTTCAGTGCAAGGGTGATTTGGAGAAGGTCATGTGAAGAGGAGATGAAAGCATGTGGGCAAACTTGGAGCCAGGTGAAAAAATTGGTAGAGAACCAAACTCAATGGAGACATTTGGCTGAAGCCCTATGTTCCTCTTGGAATTAAAGGAAATAATAATAATTTAATAATGATAATAATTCAATCGTCTTACCCGATTGTCTTCTACAGTGTACATAACCGAAGAAGAGAATTGAAACAGTTAGTAGAAGGATGTGTAAATTCATTTATACTGTTGTTGTTGTTGTTGTATTTTTTTAATTAACTGTTTATTTTACGCACTGATATCCTTCCTTACTTTTTTATATTATTATTCAATTTATACTCTTAAAAAACTACCTGTCAACCAATAACATGTAAATATAAATTTAATTAAAAATAAAAACACACTCACATGAATCATTTATATCCTTTCAAAGAAAACTGGCAGGAACGCATAATTCTTGTTTTGACGTCCAACAACGAAATATACTCAATAAAACTGTCAATATATATATGTATGCATGAGGTCAAGTAAAAATGAACATGAAATAAAAGAAAGTATACATGCTTTACTGTCCGTTAAAAGTGATCATTACTCACTGAGAGTAATAAAGTTATCAGAAATTATCAGAGAGTAGGCTATTCACTTGATCACGTCTAATTCATAATTTGTTTGATACAAGTTTTCTGCTATACACTACTTGTTCTATGTCAAAATATTCTGTTAAGGAGTAAAATGTGGGTTGTGTGTTCAAGTGCACAAAAACTGATTTTTGAGAAACACTAAGAACATGACTCACTTAAGAAAAAACGATTTTGAAATTAAAATTCTAATTTACTTCTCATTAATTTAAGTAGAGAATAAAAAGATGTTGAAGCGAAGAAAATTTCGCTTTTCGACCAAGTCAGCGTCAACTAGGTGAGTATACATTCGTGTATTTCATATAATAAATGGGTAGGAAAGTTCTAGAATAATTTCTAGTCAAGGGTCAGATTAGTAGAACATCATCAGATCAGAACACCATAATATCGACTTTACCCTTGAAGCCGAATCGAACAGAATGTTCCACTGTCTCGACGTCCATCTGACAAGAAACGCCGACAACTCTATGAAAAAGTCCATATAAAAAAGTCCACATGAACTGGACAATTCATCAAATTTCAAAGCTTCGTTCCCCTAAGCAGAAAGAGGAACCCGATATACGCTATTTCCTCGGGATTCGAAAGATATGCAGCGAGGAGGTGATGAGGTTGATGAAAAACTGAGTAATCTCCGAAAAACCCTGATGGAAAATGACCTTCCGCCTAGGTTCATAGACAAGAATCTCAAATCTAAAAAGACTTCCGAACAACTTCAATCCGTTCCGAAAAAGATACTTCTGCTTAATCTATAATTCAAAGGTGACATTGAAGCAGGAATCCTTCGTAAACACCTCTGAAAATCTCTGAAGAAGACATACTTCGCGTGAGCCTACGATGAATGTTTTCCTGGAAGAAACTGTTCAGTGAGAACACGAAAGACAAGCTGTCGTATTGGACCACTTCAACGTGCATTGGAGTTGAATACATCGGCCATACGATGCGCCGACTTGAAAAACGCGTTCGTGAACACTATCCAGCCTGACTAGTAAAAGCAGAACGAAAACGGGTATATAGTTCAGTGACAGAACATCTGGTCAATTCACAACATTCAGCGCCATTCAAAAAATCCTTTAAAATCATATAAGAAATTCGATCAAATCTATCAAAAAGGGAGTAAAGTTAAGACATCTGGACACAGTCGAGTCACTAGCCATCTAAAAGCTCAAACCCACGCTATGTATCAAAAAGAAACACGTCCAACCCTTGTCCCTGCCGTGGCCATCATAAACAGGTAATTCTTTTATTAGTGACCATTGAATTTCCTTTCTTATACAAACTTCGTGTTTATTCATGTTATTTTAAGTTTATCTCATTCCGTATTTACACTACCATATTTTCATATCTGAACTTCCCGTCTATTTAATCATTTAATTATTTCTACATATTCAATCCCTAATCGCATAAACAATTATTCATCATATTAGTCATGATCCCACTAGATTTTTTCTGCCAACATCCTGACCATGTTTGTTATTTCTACATTTCTAGCCCTTAATTGCACGGTATGTCAATCTTCTCAGTAATTATGATGCTACTTTGTGTTGAGTTTTATCCGTCCCCCCGTTTGTTATGGCATTTTAATGCCCAATTGTATTTTTATTAATCTGACCCTTGACCAGAAATTATTCTGGAAATTTTCCACCCATTTATCATAATACACAAATGTACAGCCTAGTTGATGATTTCGTCGAAAAGAAAATTTCCTTTGTTACAACTGTCTTTTTATTCCCTATGATCATATGTATATATTCCGAAATTCGAGTTTGATTAGGATGGTTTTAGATGGTGCTGGGAGACACGGGTGTGATTCTCAGAAGGGACATGAATTATTTCGAGGTGGCGAATGCACCTTGCTGACTGGTGAGTGCCAACTAGCACCAAACCTAAGTGCAGCCAAGGCTTCCTGTGGCCGATTGCCTCCAACTATTTAATATCATCAAATCAATGTGTGCACCATGATGCTGAGCCACCTAGAATGGTGGCCACATTACAAATCTGACTGAGTGATAGAATTTAGTATGCACTGAAGAGAGAGGACTATACCGATCACACTAGTTACTAGTGTCAAATCAAAATCGAAAGTTATCGATAAGTGGCAGTGGATGATATTCATGGTAACTTAACATTTAGAAAATCAGTGAGATAGGCTGTGTTGTTGACTCGAAGATCAATGTTCTTTGCTAGCGATCAATTTTCTGAATACCAACAAAAAATGAGGATTTTGTTAGGCATTGGTAACACATTTAACTCACTTGTAAAATAATTTCAGCATGAATTGACTCTCTGTCCCTCAAGTTAGGAATTAGGGATTCCTAAACAGTTAATCGAATGAAAGCAAAATGGTTGACATCTTACTCATATGATCGTTGGTGGTAATTTATGCTCGAAACGTCATTCAGTTACTGTGTGTGATATGTGAAATACATTTATCTAATAAGGAAGTCTTGTAAATGTTTTAAAATTCGCCTCATGTCCTCACGAATTGAATATATATATATATATATATACATGTATATTGATCCTTTCATGAACAGCGAAAAACATTCTTGTTCTAAATAATAGTCAAGTGAACAGCAATTCCAATTAGAGCGATTTTTACAAACAACTGCTGTGCATAATAATATTCTATTTCACAGAGAAGAACCCTATAAGAATATCGTAAATAATGGAACAACTCCATTGTAAAAAGTTGTAGATAGAATTTATTGGATGGATTCGAAAATACCACATTAATAAGGCGTATCACACAGTGATGAAACAGTATTATTTACTGAATGACACAGTTTCGAACAAAATTCATTATTGTTCATAATCATATGACACGTATCATATCACACACATAATCATATATACAACCACACCAATCAATTTGGCTATAGAGGCAGTCAGAAACGAATTCATTTCTAACTAAGAACTCGAACTCAAGACGAAAGTGTCACTTGAGGACATAATGCTGGGAGGGCAGCTGTGCCTGACTTGCACAGTATTTAAATTACCCTGATAAATTAGTCAGGAAGATTTACGGTAATGTTAAAATAAAATAAATGATCATGACAGTGATAGTGGTAAATGTATTAGAATGAGGCGAGAACAACAGAGTGGTTTGTGCAGAATAAGAAGATGGTACCATCATTGCTTATTTCGTTGGCTTCTCATCAGCTCAGCTGCCTTCAGCCTAAATAAATTATGACGTTTAAGTACAGAAACGTTTTAACATACCTGCAGATTTTACATTTTGTCAGTTGATAGAATGTTCCACAATTAATGAACAGTGCTGAGAAATTTACGCTTATATAGTTTTTCCACAGGGAGTCCAATTGTAAACAAAATAAATATATGCATACTATGGTGAAGGAGTTACGTAATAAAGACGAGGTTCACGTTAGATGCTGAGTGACTGATAAATTTGGTAACAATGTACTGAGTTCAGCTCAAATCATGGAAATAAGAGACAAGCAAAATTACAGAGGGTGAGGTTAAAGACAAAGATTACGTAATCAGATGAGAGAAAGAATAAAGACATCCAGTTACCAGGTTAGCAAGGAAAGACTGACTAATAACTGCTTCTTTATGAACACATAAATCTGGTTTCAAGTGTTTGGTGGGAATTGCTTCGGTAAACTTGAGGAGAATGGAGCTCCTTTTTCTATTGATAATTTTGAAGGATTTCTCAATTTCCACCGCATGACCCGTGTCTACGAGATGTCTGGTAATAGCACTACTATAAGAGTTTGTTCCTTTGAGACGTAGGCTTTTCGGCACATGTTCAGAAAATCGTAGATATGCCCTTCTTCTTTCTGTCCTTCCAATGTAACTGCTCCCGCAGATACACGTAAATTTGTACAAACAGTTGGAGTTAACATGAGAAGGAGCAAGATTTTCTATAGGCAGGAACAAGCTTAGCTGCAGGATAGGCTATGGCTAGTGATTTATTCAGCCTTCTGTTGATCATTGCTGCAATGTTTTCACCTTTAAAATCTAGTTGAATGAAGACAGCCTTTTTTCAACTGTGATTTGTTTGGTATTTGAACCTTCACATCTTCGTATTTGTTAATGAATCTTTGAGGATAGCCGCTGAGTTTCAGCACCTTTTCGAGATTTGTAAATTCTTGCTCTAGCTTCTCTATAGAGCATATTCTCCTCGCTCTATAGTACAGAGTCTTGACTAGTGCTCGTTTATAGCTATTTGGAAAAAACTATTAAAATGTGAGTATTGTCCATTCCATGTGGGCTTTCATCATCATTTCATTCCTCTTCACATGACCTCCTCCAATTCACTCTTGCACTGACGACCAGCTGGACACTTCCCATTCAAGTTGCAGTCGAGTGATGGCCTGTCTTGTGATGTCACTTGATGGTTTGTCTTCTCAGAGTATGGCCAGACAATCCACCTCCATTGGTCCTGAATGTTTGTTGCACAATTGGTTCCTATCTGGTTCACTCATTGCAAGAGATCCCTGTTTCTGATCTTTTCTGACCGGCCATCTGATCTTGAGTAGTACTGAGCGAAGACAACTGTGAATGAAGGTCTCTAGTTTGTTTGGGATGCTCTTTATGACGCGCCAAGTCTCTGATCCGTACAGTAAGTGGCACTGACTTCACATTGGAGTTGAAAATCAGTATCTTATTCTTGATGCTGAGTGCTGTTGACCTCCA